CAACTTTCCTGCATTTCTGCTACCACCAAGCACCCAGAGGATGGCAAAAGAGAGAAGGTCCCAGAGCATATAAGCCTCTTTACCTGAGACAGGTTGCAGTTGTTACCTATTCCCTTTACAGACTACTTCAGCAGTATTGACCCAGGAATGGAAAAGAGCACAGATAGGGACTGAAGACAGAGATCTCTCCAGTCTTCTGGCTAATCTTGGTATAGCCACCTTTAACATCCTCTAGCCAGACTCACAGAAAATGTGAAGCATGGGGTTTGACTCCATTAATATTGGAGCTCTTGTTAGTTCCAGAAGTATCTGGGGCAGTTATAATTGTAGTGCCTCAGAAACTCTGACCTCTGGGAACTTCTTAATCCCTTTTCCCTTGGGACCAAAAGGTCCTCCTGGGATAAACAGGCAGTTAGATGGGAGAAGAAAACGATTTTCTTTCTTCCCATGACAAAGAACCCCTGGTAATCCAGTGCTATATTGACTGCATGTCCTGTAGGCAGTAAGTACATCTCCTGGGTACAGGGATCTGATGTCCACATCCGTCTGTGTTCATATTCACTTGCCTATGCACACTGAACACCTTCTGTGGATCCAATAAGTGAATAGAAATTTTAGTGGGCTTCCTGCTTGTTTTGTTTGATAGGCATTGCCCAAACCATGCTATTGAATGGATTGGTGTTAATCTATCATGGCTTTTATCAAGGTATTATGATAAAAATGCAAGAGAAAACTGAACAAAATCTTACTGAGAAAATGCAATGTGATATTCAGAGAGAAAAGATCTATAATAATTTTTGTTGTGGTGAGAGGTTTAAAAATGGAATTTATAAATAATCCGATGTTAGTTAGGAACCATGTTTTTCCTTTAGGCTTTATTCTCATTTTGAACCTTATATGAATTATTCACACTTATCAACTAATGGAAACAAACATCATAAGTTTCTTCAAGGCCGTTCTTTTGTTTTATTTTTTTTTCCTGTATTTTCCAACATTCTTCCTATTTCTCTTCCCTTTAGAAAAGTGAAAACTCCAGTGGATTTAAAATATATCTTTCTAATTAATTTTTGGTATGCTTATACAGGGCTATATTTATTTATGGAAAAATTCATTTAAAACTGAATTTATACAAATGTCACTGGGTTATAAATCTAATGTTATTCTTTTTTATCAATGCTGTATCTTAAAATTTATACATGTTGCTCTGTATAAGTTAACTTTATTATTTTTGACTGCTGTTCACTACTGAGGAAAGATCATTTGAGAATTTTACCCAATGCCTGTGAATTATGATGCTTTCCTTTCTGGACAGTGGAAACAGATACTATTTCAGGCCCTGTGAGATGATTGGATACTGCTCTCACTAATTCTTTTAGGTGCCCTCCTCCCTTCCTCCACCTTGGGTAGTGTCCTCATCTGCATATATTCTTTCATTACTTGAGGAAGATCGTCTGTAGATTTTCAGGCTTCTGTCTGTGTGCAGCTTTCTTTTCTCCAGTATTCTTTCTTGAGAGCTTTAGCAGCTTTTGTCTTTGTGTACTCCAATTACATCTCCTCAACTTAGGGACCGCACTGAGTTTCATTTGGTCTATCTTTCTTCCCTGCACTGCAGCCTGAAAACTCTTTCAAGACAGAAAACTGGGGCAGTTGTAGGGCCTGCCTCATTTGTTTCACATATTTCAGGGATTACTGTCCTTACTTTCCTGATATCTAGTGTCTTGAAACTCGTTGTTTACTATATTTTATTCCAATTTTGGTTTGTTTCATCTTAGGTCAGTTAAGAAAGCAAATTCAGTCCCTTTCATCACATCTTGGCTAGAAGCTGAATAATATGATAATTTTTAGAGTAATTTGATTCACCTCTCATCAGTATTTGTTGTAGCTGATCTCAAAAGATGCCCACCCCCAATGCAGCATGCTAGTGAAGAATCAATACTTTGTATGAGCCCCTTATTTTCAATCTGAGATGAGTGTTAGATTCACTTTTGATTGAAAGAATGTGTTGGAAGTGAAACTGCTTGAATTCTGAGACAATATATTAAGAGGCCTTGTAGCTGCTACCAGGATCTCACAGTTAAGTTGTTTATGGGAATAACTGACTGCACTGAGACAGTTTTGCTGTGATGAAGCCCACATTAGCTATATGGAAAAAACTCATAAACAGAGGCCTATGCTCAGTCATGCTCTGATGTTTGAACCATCTCAACACAGGGGACAGGCATGTGAATAAAAAAGTCATATTAGACATCCCAGCTGCAATACATGTCACACGAGGAAGAACCAAGAAATTCAGCTAACAGCTACATGGTACAGCCTAGCTGTCATGGTCACATCCAATTACTCAATCCATCCCAGTTCATGATCCAGTCATTGTTGTGCGGAAAAGATTACCCCACTGTTTCCTGTCTGAATTCGCAATGCAAAAATTCATTAGCATAATAAATGCTTATTTAGATGACACTAATAGATAACCAGAATAGAAATCAACAGTCAATCCCTCTTAGACCTGGGAAAGTAGGGCCCTGGCCCTGGTGTCTGACACATTATGGGACCCAAGAGTTGGAGGATTTAGCTTATCAGAGAAGCAAGAAATTATTAAGACTGAAATGGAAACATATGGAATGAAAATAGTTATGAAAGACTTGCACGAAGAAGTTGCATAATTTCTATTGAATAGGATTTGACAATGTTGGAGTATACCTAAATTAAGCCAATTGGTTGTCTTGGATTTGATGGAATCGTTCTGAAATCGAACAGCCCTCATTCCTACTATATGATATGGGCATCTGACCCAGAGAAGACCGGGTCTCCTAGGCTGTGAAGGAAAGAGCAGGTGTGTAAGACTGTGAGCCAGGGGACCCAGAGAATCCCAAGAACACCTGAGCAGGGAAAGGAATAGGATATAGCCTTCTCACAGTGACCACTTCAAGTTAGATGCTGAAAGGGCCAAATGCCACTTAGTGGTGTGCAGTGAAGTGTAAATCTGTCTTGTTCTCCAAATGAGTCCTTGGGACTAGGCCAAGACTGCCTCCCAAGAGAGGCAGGACCATGTACCTAAGTTCCAGTCATGTGAGATATCTCAGGGATACCTGGGGCCACGTAGATATCAGGTCTGGAATGGTGGGATCAGCAGCCCAGGTGATCTCAACCTGACCTCATCACCCTCATTTCATCCACCTCCCATGCAATCTGGTCTAAGGCACTCAGAAATGTATTTCTGAAGCTCGTTCCCACAACCTGCCTGCATGATTAAGACATGGTCTGACCCCGTCCCTGTTTGATGTTGCTCTCAGTCTATACCTTGGACACATTCCTTAACCACAATGCATTCATAAAATTTGATCAGAGAGACCATACCTCATAAGTGTGTCCTTTGTCTAGAATGGAATATGCTATCAATCAATGCGGCCAGTAATTATTCATCACCAGGAGAAAGAAATTCCTGGCCTTCACTCTGTTGGACTCCAGCCCCGTGTACCAAGACATCACCTGTGCACTGTGGCTGGTCTCTGTGCTGAAGGCACCTGAATCACAGGAACTAAAGGTAGGGAGAAAGAGAAGGAAAGATGGACAAAATCTGTGCAATTGAAGAAGAAACCTAAGACCGCCGAAGATGAGAACAGCGTTGTTAGACTCCTGGCAGACTCGAGAGCCCGAGAATAACAAACCGGTCACCAGGGCCCAGCGGCGTAGGCTCGGGGCTGTTCTCCTTCGCTGCAACTGAGGTCCAGGGCAGGACAGGGCGCTCGCTGGTTACCATGGACACGGCGAGCGGATGCACACCAATCAGAAGACAGCGTTCCTCGCTCCTTTAAATACGCCTCACCCAAAGCAACCTCCTCCATTCTGCTGGAACACAAACGCGCTTCTACGTTTCTGTGGAGGAACTTGATTGGTCCTGTAAACCTTGTCCCGCTGGACAAAGACTTGCGAAGGAAAACGAAGTGCCACCAGGACTCCGTGGCCCTCCCTGCCTCCCTCTCCTTTTTCCCTCCATGGCAGTGAAGCTGTGGACGCTTCTCTTCAGGACGGTGAGGTCCAGATGAGTGAGACGCCACATACCGGCAGAGTCCCGGAAGGGTCACCCCAGTAAAAGAGTGGGAAATCCAAGGAAAAGGAATGCAATGGAAGAAACTAAAGAGACTAGGATTAAGAGGATCAAAAGGCAAAAGAGAATAGGGAGACATGAAGGCGAAATGAGGAGAGAGCCCACTGCGAGCAATGCCTCCAATCCCCTCTGCAGCAGCAAAAGCAGAGGGAGAGCTGGAGGAGTCTTGAACCCCTAAATCCATAGTCCGTGTTGCTTTGAAGGAACCTCCAGGGCCATCTTGGAAGAATGTGTGCAGAGCAGCAGGCTCGTTTCAAAGCAGGACTCCACCCCGTTGAGCACACAGCCTTTCAGCAAACTGTTTCACCTATAGGACTCTCCCTTCCGCTCCAGGTGCTCTTTTAGGATGCAAACCTTTCCCATTCCAAATTTGGAATAAATTAGCAACACACTGCTATTTTCAGTTTTCTGTACAAACTTGAAAATTCTGAATGCAGAAAAACTTAAGAAATGAATTAAGGAATGAAAATAATTACAATTTAATTGGTGGACTTTGATAAAATTAAGATAATCTGCCATTGTTGTATGCAACATCATTGCAATATTTAGATATGATATGTAAAGTTCATTTATTTCCAAATTACAGTAATTGGTTTAAGATTTTAGTGACAATTCTAGTTACTACTACTTCAGCGGAATGAAGTTTTCTAAATTTAAGTCAAGAAAAAAATTCTACCTTAAGACTAAAATGATTCAAGAAGAGCTTATCTAATTTGGCATTAATGTCAACAGAATATTTAGCATGTAAAAATCAGGATTTCAGTAACAATGATTTTGTGGAAATAAAAGTAGTAAAACTACATTTTTCTGAATAAACATAATTAATGATTTTATATGTCTTTTTTGGGCAGTTTTTACATTTATTTAAACAGAAAACGTGCACACGAGCTGTCTACTCATTTTCTTCACTGCGCAGCCTGGCATTGGGATTGGCGACTCTGATGGCCAGTTGGGCAGCTCTTTCCACGAAGGCTTTGCGGTTCTTGGAGGAAACATTGTGAGCAATCTTGGCACAGTAAGATTTATTGCACATCAGCAGCACTTCCAGCTCCTTGACGTTGTGGACGAGGAACTCCCGGAAGCCAATGGGCAGCATGTGCTTTGTTTTTTTGTTGCTCCCATAACCAATGTTGGGCATCAAGATCTGGCCCTTGAGTCTTCTACCAACCCTGTTGTCAACACCTCTGGGTTTCCACCAGTTATGCTTAATTTTGACATATCGGTCTGACTGGTGCTGGATGAACTTCTTGGTTCTCTTTTTGACGATCTTGGGCTTCACAAGGGGTCTGAGGGCGGCCATGATGCCGAGGAGGAGATGGCTGCCACCTCCGTAGGCAGCGCCGAGGAAATTATATCTCATTTTATGTGTTGGATCCACTGTTTATGAATAGAACCTCCTGACATACGTAATCTTACATATAAAATAAATATTCTGTTTTGTAATTCAAATTTTAGCCTTACCACTCGAGTATTTTATATTAATGAGTTTATCCTAACATGGTACATTGCAACACGGCCTATTGCCATGAAATTCACAAGTTTTCTATTTTGAATCCAAGAACAAATGAAAATGTCTTTTCAGACATTTGTTTTATTGTCGACTGTTATGGAAGATACCGGTGAGCATGCTATTGTATGAATCTTTAGAGAGACTGTGATCAACATTCAAAGACTTTGGGAATGCAGTGATTATGGACTAAAGAGTATATGTGGTCAAGTGAAAAGTAAATTTAGCATGTCCAGAAAATGAATTATTGTTCACATTTTCCTGCATATTCTGATCAAGAATTGCATTTGAGTTCACCATCAACTGAGAAGGGTAAGAATCTTGGAGGGTGAAGAGAAGCCAGCATCTGTGGGCAACGGATATAATGGATATGGATGGATGGATATAATGCGCTGTCATGAGTAATGCTGAAGTTAGTATTAAATAAATGCTACTAAGGAATTGTGGAGGCAAGATCTGTATAATTTCCTCAAAACATGTTCCAAAGGGTCATAGTATTGTGAGTAATAGCAGCATTGCTTCAATTTTCTTGAGGTGGAAAATATAGAATTAACTAGGAATGGCACATTTGACAATATAAAAGAATGAACAAATGCTACCTGTATTGAACTGGAAGAAATGGCACCTTGAGACTGCAAAGAATCTTTATGTAAACTGATTGGACAATATATACATATATAAGGACTTTTCTCTAACTGTTATTCTAACTTTTTAATGATAAGCCTATATACATTTTATAATAGGCTTATAAATATTAAAATGCATTTTAAACATTATTTATATTGACAAGGATTTTTCAAACTCCATAAGTGGCCTTTAATGCAGTTGAACGTGCCCTCTTAATACATCATAGTGCATTTTGAACTGATTTGTTCTGTGACTCTTTTGTTTCTGCCTCTCTTCCCCTGACCACTACTTCTGTTGTTTTCTCTCCATGCTACTCTCCCTACACCAGAAGTTAAGGATAATGTAGGGGCTCCTCAGGGGTTTTTGGTAGGTTTCCTTCTCTTCTTACTCTGTTCTTTTCCTGGGCCATCCCTTCTACTTCCATTGCTTCACTTATAATCCGTAATCAATTCCCATATTCATATCTTATTTGAGGGCCAAATCTGTAAGTCCAAAAATCAATAACCATGATAAAATTAACCTACACCATTTTGTTATAAGACCAACAGGTTTGTATGTCCACTGTTTAGTAACAGAACCATTACACTCAGATAGCAGGAATGCAGCAGAGATAGGATTTATTGATCATAGAGTGTCAAGCAAGGATATGGGAGAAGACGCTGAAATCCATCTCCCTGAGGGGTTCTGGGGAAGAATTTTTAAGGGGATGGAGGGTGACGGGATGGAAAATCAGAGTTGTTTACGTTCAGGGCAAGGAGAATGAAGTCATCTGGATGAGGAAACTGCAGACAACAAACAACTATGAGGCAGCAGGTCAGAGAGCAATCTGACTTAATAATCAATGCTGAAAGTGCTGCAAGCTTGGTTTATTTTTGTTTATCTATCTCCCGTCTTCCCTGATTAATTTTATACAGTTTATAGAAGTGATTCTCATTTCTTTTATCAAATTTTCAACTTTACCACATTATATACTCATTTTTTTTTCATGCTTTAATGCCTTTAGTTTTCCGCCCCCCTTAATATTTATAGATGTTATCTTCAGGAGTATCAGGTCTGTCTGGATGTTACTTAACCATGCCAGAAATGGAAAACTGTCTGATACTAGTACAAGCACTCGAGGTTTCTTATGATTTAGTTTGCTTTGTATACTTTTTTCCATTCTTATAGTTTTTATTCTGTGTTATATTTATATATATTCTGTGTTATATTTAAAGTGAATTTCTTCTGAACAGCATATAGGACAGACTTGCTTTTTTTTGAAAAAAAAATTCATCTATTTCTTCCATTCATTTAGACTTAGGTTTCTCAGCCAGAGCACTGTAAACATTTGGACTAGACACTTCTTTGTTGCTGCAGCTGGGAGTAGAGTGCTATTCTGTACATTGTAGGATTCATTTTTTTTAATTATTATACCTTAAGTTCTAGGGTACATGTGCACAACGTGCAGGTTTGTTACATAGGTATACATGTGCCATGTTGGTTTGCTGCACCCATCAACTCATCATTTATGTTAGGTATTTCTCCTAATGCTATCCCTCCCCTAGCCCCCCACCCTCCAACTGGCCCCAGTGTGTGATGTTCCCCACCCTTTGTCCAAGTGTTCTCATTGTTCAGTTCCCACTTATGAGTGAGAACATGCGGTGTTTGGGTTTCTATCCTTGTGATAGTTTACTGAGAATGATGGTTTCCAGCTTCATCCATGTCCCTACAAAGGACATGAACTCATCCTTTTTATGGCTTCATAGTATTCCATGGTGTATATGTGTCTCATTTTCTAGTCCAGTCTATCATTGATGGACATTTGGGTTGGTTCCAAGTCTTTGCTATTGTGAATAGTGCTGCAATAAACATATGTGTACGTGTGTCTTTATAGTAGTATGATTTCTAATCCTTGAGTATATACTCAGTAATGGGATCGCTGGGTGAAAGGGTATTTCTAGTTCTAGATCCTTGAGGAATCTCCACACTGTCTTCCACAATGCTTAAACTAATTTACACTCCCACCAACAGTGTAAAAGCATTCCTATTTCTCCACATCCTCTCCAGCATCTGTTGTTTCTTGACTTTTTGATGATCACCACAGTAACTGGTGTGAGATGGTATCTCATTGTGGTTTTGATTTGCATTTCTCTGATGATCAGTGATGATGAGCATTTTTTCATGTGTCTGCTGACTGCATACATGTCATCTTTTGAGAAGTGTCTGTTCATATTCTTTGCCCACTTTTTGGTGGGACTGTTTGCTTTTTTTTCTTGTAAATTTGTTTAAGTTCTTTGTAGATTCTTGATATTAGCCCTTTGTCAGATGCAAAAATTTTCTCCCATTCTGTAGATTGCCTGTTCACTCTGATGCTAGTTTATTTTGCTGTGCAGAAGCTCTTTAGTTTAATCAGATCCCATTTGTCAATTTTTGCTTTTGTTGCCATTGCTTTTGGTGTTTTAGTCATGAAGTCTTTACTCATGCCTATGTGCTGAGTGGTGTTGCCTAGGTTTTCTTCCAGGGTTTTTATGGTTTTAGGTCTTACATTTAAGTCTTTAATTCACCTTGAGTTAATTTTTGCATAAGGCATAGGGAGGAGTTCAGTTTCAGTTTTCTGGTTATGGCTAGCCAGTTTTCCCAATACCATTTATTCAATATGGCATCCTTTCCCCATTGCTTGTTTTTGTCAGGTTTGTCAAAGATCAGATGGTTGTAGATGTGTAGTGTTATTTCTGAGGCCTCTGTACTGTTCTATTGGTCTATATATCTGTTTTGGTATCAGTATCATGCTGTTTTAATTACTGTAGCCTTGTAGTATAGTTTAAAGTCAGTTAGCATGATTCCTCCAGCTTCACTCTTTTTGCTTAGAACTGTCTTGTCTATACAGGCTCTTTTCTTGGCTCCATATGAAATTTAAAGTAGATTTTTCTAATTCTGTGAAGAAAGTCAATGGTAGCTTGATGGGGATAGCATTGAATCTATAAATTACTTAGGGCAGTATGGCCATTTTCACAATGTTGATTCTTCCTATCCATGAGTATGGAATATTTTTCCATTTGTTTGTGTCCTCTCTTATTTCCTTGAGCAGTGGTTTGTAGTTGTCCTTGAAGAGGTCCTTTACATCCCTTATAAGTTGTATTCTTAGGCATTTTATTCTCTTTGTTGCAGTTGTGATTGAGACTTCACTCATGATTTGGCTCTCTGTTTGTCTATTCTTGGTATATAGGAATGCTTGTGATTTTTGCACATTAATTTTGTATCCTGAGATTTGCTGAAGTTGCTTATCAGCTTAAGGAGATTTTGGGCTGAGATGATGGGGTTTTGTAAATACACAATCATGTCACCTGCAAACAGAGAAAATTTGACTTCCTCTCTTCGTATATGAATTCCCTTTATTTCTTTCTCTTGCCTGATTGCCCTGGCCGGAACATCCAATACTATGTTGAATAAAAGTGGTGAGAGAGAGCATCCTTATCTTTTGAAAGTTTTAAAAGGGAATGCTTCCAGATTTTGCCCATTCAGTATGATATTGGCTGTGGGTTTGTCAGAAATAGTTCTTATTATTTTGAGATGCATTCCATCAACACCTAGTTTATTGACTGTTTTTAGCATGAAGGGTTGTTGAATTTTATTGAAGGCCTTTTCTGCATCTATTGACATACTCATGTGGTTTTTGTCATTGGTTCTGTTTATGTGATGGATTGTGTTTATTAATTTGCGTATGTTGAACCAGCCTTGCATCCCAGAAATGAAGCTGAATTGATCGTGGTGGAGAAGGTTTTTGATTGCTGCTGGATTCAGTTTGCCAGTATTTTTATTTTATTTTATTTTATTTTTCATTATTATACTTTAAGATATAGGGTACATGTGCACAACGTGCGGATTTGTTACATATGTATACATGTGCCATGTTGGTGTGCTGTACCCATTAACTCGTCATTTACATTAGGTATATCTCCTAATGCTATCCCTACGCCCTGTCCCCTCCCCACAATAGGCCCTAGTGTGTGATGTTCCCCTTCCTGTGTCCAGGTGATCTCATTGTTCAATTCCCACCTATGAGTGAGAACATACAGTGTTTGGTTTTCTGTTCTTGTGATAGTTTGCTGAGAATGATGGTTTCCAGCTACATCCATGTCCCTACAAAGTACACAAATTCATCCTTTTTTCTGGCTGCATAGTATTCCATGGTGTATATGTGCCACATTTTCTTAATCCAATCTGTCACT